TCTGACAGCACATTTTCACAATATGACACATATTTTGATTTCTTGACTATTGCTATCATGGAAATAGATTGTGGATTGAAGAAAAATGACATTCTTCACAACCTCACTTTTCACTCCATCTATCATGGTGTGGTCCCTGGTAAAGATTTTTGTTTTCTGGATGTTGAGATGTAACCCTTATCAAGAGCTGTAGTACTTTGCTGTAGTAAGAGTTTCAAGTTTTCTTCATTTTCTGCAATTAAGGTGGTGGCATCTGCACAAAGTACGCTGGTGATGAGTCTTCCTCCAACCCTGAGGCCACTTTTTTATATAGTCCACTTTCTTCAATTATTTGCTTAGCATCCCGAGTGCACAGGCTTGGAGACAGGCTACAACCCTGATACACATCTTTACTATTTTAAACCATGCAGTGTTCCTTTGCTCTAACCCGAACAGTTTGAGGCCACCAGCCACTCCACAGGAGGAGGATGGGCACTCTCCTCCCGTGTGATTAACCCCCTCTGAAAACCCCCTGGAGGGTCACTATGGGTCGGTTCTGAATTGATGGTACACAAGTCTCTCTCTCTTTCTCTCTATATATGTATACGTATTTCATATATAGATATATATTTTTCTCTCTATATATGTATTTCATATGTATATTATATATATATATTTCATATGAGCACAATTAAGTGTTCTGGGATTCTAAGTTTCCTCAATGTTATCCATAATTTGTTATGACCCACACAGTCAAGTGGCTTTGCATAGTTAATAAAACATCAAGTAAGCATTTTTGTGGTATTTTCTGCTTTCAGCCAAGATCCCTCCAACAGCAGCAATATCCCTTGAAACACAGTTTCTTGTGATGATAATGAGTGGCTGGAATGCACAAGTTGGGAACAAGGAAGAAGTATCAATACTTGGAAAGCATGGACTTGGTGATAGAAATGAGGCTGGAGACAAAAATGATAGACTTCTGTACAATCAAAGACCTAATCATTACAAATACCTTTTATAAGAAACACACACAATGACTATACACTTGGACTTTACCTGATGGTCTACACAGGTATCAGATCGATTACATCTGTGGAAAAAACTGCTGGGTTGGGGTAAGACTGAGAAAAACTGGATAAATTATGTATAATGTATTGAAACAGATGAGGGAAAGAAAAGGTTAAAGGCGATATATGATTGGGTATTATGATTATGACAGAGTCCAGAATGAAGGTTGCATAGTGGAGTGTACTTGGGGGCTGGGGGTGGGGTGGAATTGTATACTATTGAAGGAATTATTCTTTTTTCTTTTCAAAGAGAATAGTGAACTGGAGAGGAGGAGTGGGTAGGGAGAAAAGTGCAACAATGAATCAAAGGAAATCCAAAATCTCTGTAAATGTTCATTAAAATTAGTAAAAATAATTATCAACAGCATATAACATCAGCAGTAACAGACCTTCTAAGTTTGATCCATTTTATCTTTTATGATCATTATGATTTGAAGCTTTAGCCCTAGATGTTTTATCCATCTTGAGTTGATTTTTTTTTAATTGGTTTCCTTAAAAAGTTTGTTTGTACACGTTTTTACATTGGATCTTTTCCATTTCCTTAACCCATCCCTCTCTTGACCCATCAAATTGTGCAACCCTATGATTGCCCCCTCATCCTCGACCCTCTGTTTTCCCCTTCCCCTACTTAAAGCCTCATACATGTTTTATTATCTGTATCTACAACAATGGTCTTATAAAGTATTTGTCCTTATGGGACTGAGTCCAGTCCCTTCCAAGTAGTAGTGATGTACAGAAGCATTGCTTCTGCTTGCAACATACTATTCCATCATGTGCATATACCATGATTTCCCAGTCCTTTTGATTGTGTTTGGGCATTTGGGCTGTTTCCATTGTCTTGCGATGGTGAATAACATTGCTAAAAACATTGAAAAAAAATGTCTCTTGATTATGAATCTAAGTAAAAAGAAATGCTTGATACCTTGGATTTTGTCTAAGTTTTTCATGATAAGTGGAGAAAAAAATTGGCCAACACAGAAGTATTTTATGAAACAACATATAATCAAGAGGCAATGGTGATGAAGGAGGAAGTTCAAGCTGAAGGAACTGGCAAAAAACAAGGTCCCAGGAATTGATGGAATACCAACTGACATATTTCAGCAAACAGATGCTGCCATGGACACACTCACCAGGTTATGCAAAGAAATCTGTAGGACAACTACCTGACCAATTGGAAGAGATCGATAGTTATTCCCATTCCAAAAAAAAGGTGACCCAACAGAGTGGAAATAATCGAACAATATAATTAATATTACACACAAGCAATATCTGAAGATTATCCAAAACTGACTGGAACAGTACATCAGCAGAGAACTGCCAAATATGCAGACTGTGTTTAAATGAAGCCGTGGCACTAGGGACATCATAGCCAACATTAGATGGATCTTGGCCAAAAATAGAGAGTACCAGAGGAAATGTGTGTTTCATTGACTATGCAAAGGCATTTGTGTGGATCACAACAAATTGTGGCTAAGCTGAGAATGGGAATCTCAGAACACTTAATTGTGCTCATGCGAAACCTGTACTTGGACCAGTTCTCAGAACAGAAGAGGGAAACACTGTAGGGTTCAAGATCAGGAAAGGTATGCATCAAGGATGCAGCCTGTCTGTCTCCATACCTTTTCAATCTATATGCAGATCACTCGGAGGGTAGACTTTATGAGGAGGAATGTGGCATTGGGATTGGAGAAAGACTCATCAAATATTCTGTGTTATTCAGATGACACAATCTTGCTTGTTGAAACTAAGGAGGACCTGAAGTGCTTGCTGCAGGTCAAGGACTGTAGTCCTCAATATGGATTGAAGCTAAACATCAAGACAAAAATTCTCACCACTGGGCCAACTGGCAGCTTCATAATAGACTGAGAAGAGATTGATATTGTTAACAACATCAGCTTGCTTGATTCTACAGTCAACACTCTTGGCACCAACAGTCAGGAAATCAAAAGATGAACTGCATTGGGAAAATCTGCTGTCAGGGACCTCTCTAGAGTACTGAAGAGTTATGATGTCAGTCTGGAGACTATGTTATGTCTGAAACAGGCTATGATCTTCACAATTACTTGCTATGCATCAGAGAGCTGGACAATGACTAAGGATCACAGAGTAAGAATTGTGTCTTTGAGTTGTGGTGCTGGAGAATAGTGTTGAATATAGTGTGGATTGTCAAGAGAACAAACAAGTCAGTCCTAGAGAGGGTGAAATCAAGCTGCTCCCTAGAGGCAACAATTTTGAAGCTCTGTCTCACATACTTTCACCACGTGGCCAGGAGGGGCCAGTGCTTGGGGAAGAACATCATGCTTGGAAGGGTGGAAGGACAGGGTAGGAGAGGAAGACCCTGGATGAGACGGATTGACTCAATGACTGGAGAAATGGGATTAGATCTGTCAGAGATGATGAGACTGGCTCAGGACAGGACAGGTTTCAGAGCTGTTGTGCGCAGGCAACTCGATGGCACATGACAACTGCTAACTCAAAGGTGGCATGTCTCTGTTGGCTTGAATCCACTAGGTGCTCCAAGCGACAAAGAAGGCAATCTCTGCCTGTGAGATTTCCAGCCTCCTGAAAACCTACTGGAGGGTCAGCAATGAGTCAGGTCTGGCTAGATGGCAATGAAGTTGCTTTTTAATTTTTTTTAAAAACATGGATTATGGATCCAAGTAAAACAGAATCATTGGTTCCCGGCTCCTTCTAACATTCTGCTGATGAAGTTGCTCTAGTGATGGCTCTTTTCTCTGAGAATAACAAATTTAGTTCATTTGGCTTCTTTGCTACTTGTATACTTCTCAGAGGCAAACGGCATTCTCTCCTTTTGCCTTTTTTCTGTCTCCTTCACTCTAGGCTGATGGATTTTCTGGGGTGGTAAATAGCTCTATCCACCAGTCACAGACTTAATATCTTTAGCAAAAGATTAGGTAGCTTTTCGTTGGTGAAAACTTGTGTATATGTGGCAATAAAATTTATCAAATTTTTAAATTGTGAGGATCTCTGAGATATCATCCATACTGTAATCTGGATATAATCTATACTTAATGCTTACTTTTTCTGACTTTAAACTATGCAACATCTCCTTGTTCTCTTTGACTGTTTCTTGGTCTATGTGAAGGTTCTGCACCAGCACCATGAAGTGTTCTGGAACTGCCATTCTTCTAATGTGATACACAAATTGTTGTATCAGCTCCTGAATGCCTTTGCATACGTAATAATCATAGGTGAACATGCTTCTGATATTTTCTCCTTTTAGCAAAGAAACATCTGATGTCCGCCAGTGATATCCTTTGTTCTGCTTCCTCTTCTAAATCTAGTTTTAATTTCTGGTAGAGCTAAACATGCTCACTTCTCTATGCCATGAAATCTGGAAGACAGCTACCTAGCTAACGAACTGGAAGACATTCATATATGTGCTTGTTCCAAAGAAAGCCGATCCCAGAGAATCTGGACATGACAGGTTATCACTAAAAACAATGCTACTAAAATATTGCTTAATACTAGACTCGTAGTCAATTAGTAAAAATAAGCTTTTATTTATAAGATAGGTTGTTATTAAAAACTAGAGTCTTCCATGACATGGGTGACCTAGTTAATGAATAGAGCCTGCAATATCACAACTCAAATGAAAAACTATGGTTAATTAGTAGTTAATTGGGAAAACTGCATAAAAATGCTGTACACTGATTGTTTAGCTTTAATGCTGCTCTTTATGAAATAAAACCTTAGTGTCCATATTTATATGATCACTTTCTGTGCAGAATCCCAAATCTCTTTCCAAATACAAACGTCTGAATAACAATAAATGGCTATAGGTCAATCTTAAAACATGTATGTAGTCTTTAATACATCAGATAACAAGCTCATTGATTAGTGTACATGGAAATTTAGGAGATTCTTTAAGCAATTTAGAAAGATGTTTTAACAATTTATTTTTAAAATTTGTATCTGTTGACTCCCAAAACCTCACATCCAGGGCTCCCATCCCCCCCAAGTTCTGCCAAGGACATTAGGGTCTGTTGCCTGGTCAATCAAGCACTTCACTTGAGTTTCTTCTGAAAGTCCATTCTCTGCTTCTTGAGCACGAATGTTATGATTTTTGCTTCCTCGTGCTACAGCCATATAATCCAAAAAGGCAAGGTCTTTCTCGTGGCCCAGGCGTAATTCATCACTAGGGGGAAAAAAAAAAAGTTAAAATCAAGACCATGCATTCTTAGCTGTACTATCCAAATGTTCTCTTATCACTTGCAGAATATTTTCTGCAGTTCATAAATTTAAAGAAGATAAAATCTGTAGGAAAAAGGAATACGAACAGTGGAGGATAGTACATGACTATATGTAAGTTTTTGTGTGGATATGTTTTAATTTATCTTATTATCATTTTCCTAGGAGTAGAACTAGAAGATCAAATGGGAACTGTACCTAGTTTGATAGATTTTATTTTTCCAGAATATTTTGTACCAATTTACACTTCCACTGGAAATGGATGAGAGTTCAAACAAAACTTTTTGTTTGCAATTATGAGAGTATGTGTATAGTGCACTGTCAATGTGCTGTTCCAGTCATTTCTGGATAGTCTTCAGCAGGATTTTGCTTGCATGTGGTATTAGTGATATTGTACAATAATTTCCACTCTTTCAGGTCACCTTTTCTTAGAATAGGAATAAATATGGATCTCTTCCATCAGTTGGCCAGGTGGTTGTCCTCCAGATTTATTTTATCTTTGTTGTTGAGAGCATACCTAGCATAACACAACCCAATTCCAGGAGTCTCACTTGCACAATTCAGGGGCACCGACTATGTTCTAAGTGGTGCATCATTCACACTCTTTTATTAAGATGCTCCACCTCAGCACACACTCACTGTCCTCAGAGGTTCCAATACTTCAAGGTGAAGTCTCAATTTAATCTCATACAGATGGATCTTAAAAGACCAAAATGCTCACAGCAGCCAATCTTTACTCAAAAACGAGAAAAGAAGGAAAAGAAAAAGAAGAGCCATGGAGGTGCTGTGTGTAGAGAGCTGCACTGTTAAGCCAGAGGCAGCACCCAATCTGCTCACAGACTTCTGGGGATGTTTTCACCTGAGGTGTAAATACTCTCATGGGACAAGAGTTCAGGGTGCAATCTCCATGTTGCTCTAAAATGTCTGCACTCCAAAAGAACAAAAATTCTGCATTTTCCTCTAAGAATACTAGGGTTTAAGCTTTTACATTTCAGTCCTTATTCCAATCTGAACTTGTTTTTTATTATGGTGTGAGGCTGGGGTTTTAATGTCTTTGCATGTGGAAATCCAATGTTCTTAACACATATATTGAAGATCTTTTGTCTTTTTTTATTTGAATGGATGGACTTAGCCCTCTTTTGCTGAATCAGTTCATTTTATTATCTGAAGTTCATTACTGGACCCTCAATTTTACTCCACTAGAACAACAACAATCTAAATGCTTACTGTTATTTTGGCTATAAAACAAACTTTGGTCATAAAATAGATTTTAAAATAAGGAAGGGTGAATCCTCTCCACTGTTCTTCTCTTTAAAAATTGCTTTAGCTATTGGGGGCTTCTTGCCAATTCCATGTAGAACTGATAGTTGATCTTCTCCTGTACAGGTGGCTGTTGGAATTTTGATCAGGAATATGCATCTAGAGATTGCTCAATATTAAGTCTACAATCCATAAGCACAAACATAATTTATTTTTTGTTATTGTTGTTGGGTGTTGTAGAGTATGACTCATAGAGACATTACGTACAGATCTGAATCCTGACCTACCCTGAAGCCATCCTCATCATCTCTGACATGTTTGAGCTCACTGCTGTAGTCACTGTGTCAAAGCATCTCGTTGATGGTCTTCATCTTTCACTTACTCTCCACTTTTCCAAGTATGAGATCTCTTTCCATGAAACAGCCCCTCAGGATTGGAGGAAGACTCATCAATAACCTTTGTTATGCAGATACAACTTTACGTGCTGAATGTGAGGAAAAACTTGAAACACTTGCTGCAGAAGATCAAACACTGCAGGCTTCAATACTGATTGCATCATAACATCAAGAAAACAAAAATTCTCACCACTGGACCAACAGGCAACGTCAGAATAGATGGAGAAAAGCTTGAAACTGTTAATAACTTCATCTTACTTAGATCCACAATCAATATACCATTTATCAGCAGTCAGGAAATCAGATGTACTGCACCAGGAAAGTCTACAGTCCTGGCATGTTGCCAGGAAAGGCTATTTCTCAAAGGGATATAATGCTTAGAAAGGTGGAGAGATAGTGAAGGAGGGGACCCGCAACTGGGTGAATTGACACAGTGACTGCAGCAATGGGCTTGAGTGTGTCAGAGATTGTGAGGATGGCATATAAGAACAATATAGCCAAATTATGTGAGAGGAAGCTTTGTCTGTCATCCTTGAGTCCAAGGATCACTGTGGTCGCATTTCTCCAAGACTTATCGGTTTGTTCTTTCAGCAGTCCATGGGATAGATATTTAGTACTCTTCTCCATCACCACAGACCAAAGGCATCGATTCTTCTTTTGTCATCCTTACTCAACTGTCCAGCTCTCAGATGCATAGCAGGTGATTAAAAGGACCATGGCCTGAATCAGGCATATCTTAGTCCTCAAACTGGTATCACTACTCTTCAGTAATTTGGAGGGGTCTCAACAGCAGACTTTTAATGCATTACACCTCCTGATCTCCTACCTGTTGATATCAAGGATGTTGCTTGTGGATCCAGGCAAAATAAAACTGTTGACAATTTCAATGTTTTCTCCATCTGTCATCATGTTGGTTACCAGTCCAGTGGTAAGGATTCTTGTCTTCTTTTTTTAAAAAAAATTTTTTTTAACTGGTTTGCTTATAACATTTGTATACATTGTGTTTCAGACTATTCCTCATTCATATTGTAAGTCATACAATCAATCTCATGCATTAATCACCACTGGACCTTGCCCATCATTACTGTGTCTTTTCACCCTGATCCTTCACATTTCTTTCACCTCTTCCCTCAACCCACTAAACTGTGTAACCTTTTAGTTTTGTCCCTACCCATCCTCACCTTTCTGCTCCCACTCCTTCCCCTCTTGGGCCCCCATACATGTTTTACTAGTTATCCTTCTAGTTTTACAGTAATGGCCTTTTGCAGTATTTGTCCTTATGAGACTGAGTTAGTTCAGTACAATGCTCTCCATTTTCTCCCAAATGATGAAGTATTTTTTTGAAATTGTTGCTCCTGAGTGCTGCATAGTGTTTCATTGTGTGAATGTACCACACTTCCTCAATCCATTCAGTTGTTGAATATGGGCTGTTTCCATGTTCTTGAGATGTTGAATAGTGCTGCTAAGAACATGGATGTACAAATCTGCATTTGTGTCTCAGATCTAATTTCCTTGAGTTATATTTTGGGCATGTTGCTTCGAGGGGCTGTTCCTTTGAGAGGGATATGATGCTGGGATGAGCACAGAGTTGGCAAAGGCGAGGAAGACCCTTGACCAGGTGGACTGTTACGATGACTGCTTCAGTGGGTTCTCGTGTGTCAGGAATTGTGAGGAAGAACAGGGTTCAGATATTTTGTTCATGGGGTTCATGAGTTGTACTTGACTTGATGGCACTCAACAACAACATCATCAACAAGAACAACAACAACATATTCCTAGTAGAAGAATAGCTGGGAAATATGGAGTTTCTACGTTCAACTTTTTTTGGGGGGAGGTGGGTGGAGTCAAAAGGTTATAATCAAGATTAATAATAGAATCCAGTCAAGACAGCTCACAAAATGTGCACACAGGCATCTCAGCCTCATGCCTTTAGGCTAGTGATTCCCAAGTTCTCAGCCCTGCCAATTTTGGCTTCCTACCCCTCCATACTCCCCAGTATGTTCAACTTTTTTATTTTTGTCTTCCTGATGTTGAGATATTGAAAGTTGTAGTAGTTGTTCTTTGTAGCAAGCACTTTAAGTCCTTCTCATTTTCAGCAAGCAAAGTTGTGTCATCTGAATAATTCGGGTGGTTAATGAGTCTTCCTCTGATCCTGATGCCACATTCTTATTCATAGAGTCCAGTCTGAATGATTTGCTCAGCATACAGGCTGAATAGGTATAGAGAAAGAATACACAGAAAGAAAGAACCCTGATGCACACCTGTCTTAATTTTATTATTTTTTTTCTCTTACTTTTCTTAATTTTAAACCATGCAGTGTTACCTTAAGGTTTGGACAACAGTTTCTTGGTCTAGGTATAGGTTTCATATGAACATAATAAGCGCCCTGATCATTCTTCTCAATGTTAGCCAAGTTTTGTTTCTATTTACATAGTCAAATGTGTTTGCATAGTCAATAAAACACAAATAGATCTTATTCTGATATTCTCTGCTTTCAGCCAGGATCTATCCTACATCAGCAATGATATCCCTGGTGCCACAGCCTCTTCTAAACCCAGCTTGAACTTCTGGAAGTTCTCCGTCAATGAACCGTTATAGCCATTTTTAAAAAATGATCTTCAGTACTATTTTGCTTGCATGTGATATTAATGATATTGTTCAATAATTTCCACATTCCACTGGATCCCCTTTCTTTGGAATGGGGACAAACATGGATCTCCTCCAGTCCGTCGGCCAGGCAGCTGTCCTCCAAATTTCCTGGCATAGCCTGGTGAACACATCCAGGGTTGCATCTGTTAGCTGAAACATGCCAACCTCCAAATTTCCTGGCATAGTCTGGTGAACACATCCAGGGTTGCATCTGTTAGCTGAAACATGCCAACTGGCATTGCACCTATTCCTGGCGACTTAATGTTTGCCAACATTATCAGTGTTGTCTGAACCTCTTCCTTTATTACTCTTGTTCATATGGGACCTCCATATTTCAGTACTGACTAATTCTTTTTGGCACGTATCCCCTCCATTTTCTTTTGATTCGTCCTGGTTCATTTGAGATTTTGCCCAGAACATCTCTCAGTATTGAAACTCAAGGCCTGAATTTGTTATTTAGTTCTTTCAGTTTCCATTTATTTAAATTTCTTTTATTTCTTTCAGCAGCATTTTACAATTTTCATTGCACATTTTTCTTGTTGGTTTCAGATTCATAGTGATCCTGTGTACATCAGACAGAAAGCCTGCCCTCTCCTGCACCATCCTCAGGCTCAGAATAAAGGCTGTTCCAGTCATTCTGAGT